CCCGTGAAGCCCTCACGCTGCCGCCAGGCGCCGGCTGCAGCTCTGCCGGCGGCAGCGGTGGAAGGGAGAGGGTGTTCATAAGCACTGCTCGCCCTCCTCCGCAGCCTGCCTCGCATGCGGCCGCGTGCGGGGCGAGCGCTGGCAGCCCGTGTAGCCCTCACGCTGCCGCCAGCTCCGGCTGCGGCTCTGCCGGCGGCAGCCGTGGCAGGAAGAGGGTGTTCATATTCCCTGCCTGCCCTCCTCCGCAGCCTGCCTCGCATGCGGCCGCGTGCGGGGCGAGCGCTGGCAGCCCGTGAAGGCCTCACGCTGCTGACAGCCGCCGTCTGCGGCACTGCCGGCGGCAGCCGTGGCAGGAAGAGGGGGTTCATAGCCCTGCTTGCCCTCCCCGCAGCCTGCCTCGCATGCGGCCGCGTGCGGGGCGAGCGCTGGCAGCCCGTGAGGCCCCCTCGCTGCCGCCGGATCCTGCTAGGTGCTCTGCCGGCGGCAGCGATATCAGGAAGAGGGGGTTCATAAGCACTGCTTGCCCTCCTCCACAGCCTGCCTCGCATGCGGCCGCGTGCGGAGCGAGCGCTGGCAGCCCGAGAAGCCCCCACGCTGCCGCCAGGCGCCGGCTGCGGCTCTGCTGGCGGCAGCGGTGGCAGGAAGAAGAGGTTCATACGCCCTGCCTACCCTCCTCCGCAGCGTGCCTCGCATGCGGCCGCGTGCGGGGCGAGCGCTGGCAGCCCGTGAAGCCCTCACGCTGCCGCCAGGCTCCGGCTGCGGCTCTGCTGGCGGCAGCCGTGGCAGGAAGAGGGGGTTCATACACCCTGCCTGCCCTCCTCAACGGCGTGCCTCGCATGCGGCCGCGTGCGGGGCGAGCGCTGGCAGCCCGTGAAGCCCTCACGCTGCCGCCAGGCGCCGGCTGCAGCTCTGCCGGCGGCAGCGGTGGAGGGAGAGGGGGTTCATAAGCACTGCTTGCCCTCCTCCGCAGCCTGCCTCGCATGTGGCCGCGTGCGGGGCGAGCGCTGGCAGCCCGTGAAGCAGTCACGATGCTTGCAGGCGCCGGCTGCGGCTCTGCCGGCGGCAGCGGTGGCAGGAAGAGGGGGTTCATACGCCCTGCCTGCCTTCCTCTGCAGCCTGCCTCGCATGCAGAGGCGTGTGGGGCGAGCGCTGGCAGCCCGTGAAGCCCTCACGCTGCCGCCAGGCGCCGGCTGCGGCTCTGCTGGCGGCAGCGGTGGCAGAAAGAAGGGGTTCATACGCCCTGCCTGCCCTCCTCCGCAGCGTGCCTCGCATGCGGCCGTGTGCGGGGCGAGCGCTGGCAGCCCGTGAAGCCCTCACGCTGCCGCCAGGCAGTCTGCTGGCGGCAGCGATGGCAGGAAGAGGGGCTTCATAGCCTTGCCTGCCCTCCTCTCCAGCGTGCCTCGCATGCGGCCGCGTGCGGGGCGAGCGCTGGCAGCCCGTGAAGCAGTCACGATGCCGGCAGGCGCCGGCTGCGGCTCTGCTGGCGGCGGCGGTGGCAGAAAGAAGGGGTTCATGCGCCCTGCCTGCCCTCCTCCGCGGCGTGCCTCGCATGCGGCCGCGTGCGGGGCGAGTGCTGGCAGCCCGTGAAGCCCTCACGCTGCCGCCAGGCGCCGGCTGCGGCTCTGCTGGCGGCAGCGGTGGCAGAAAGAAGGGGTTCATACGCCCTGCCTGCCCTCCTCCGCAGCGTGCCTCGCATGCGGCCGCGTGCGGGGCGAGCGCTGGCAGCCTGTGAAGCAGTCACGATGCCGGCAGGCGCCGGCTGCGGCTCTGCTGGCGGCAGCGATGGCAGGAAGAGGGGGTTCATAGCCCTGCCTGCCCTCCTCCGGAGCCTGCCTCGCATGCGGCCGCATGTGGGGCGAGCGCTGGCAGCCCGTGATGCCCTCATGCTGCCGCCAGGCGCGGGCTTCGGCTCTGCCGGCGGCAGCGGTGGCAGGAAGAGGGGGTTCATAAGCCCTGCTTGCCCTCCTCCGCAGCCTGCCTCACATGCGACCGCGTTCGGGGCGAGCGCTGGCAGCCCGTGGAGCCCTCATGCTGCCGCCAGGCGCTCTGCCGGCGGCAGCCGTGGCAGGAAGACGGGGTTCACAAGTCCTGCCTGCCGTCCTCCGCAGCGTGCCTCGCATGCGGCCGCGTGCGGGGCGAGCGCTGACAGCCCGTGAAGCAGTCACGATGCTGCCAGGTGCCGGCTTCGGCTCTGCCGGCGGCAGCCGTGGCAGGAAGAGGGGGTTCATAAGCCCTGCTTGCCCTCCTCCGCAGCCTGCCTCGCATGCGGCCGCGTGTGGGGCAAGCGCTGGCAGCCCGTGAAGCCCTAACGCTGCCGCCAGGCGGTCTGCCGGCGGCAGCGGTGGCAGGAAGAGGGGGTTCATAGCCCTGCCTGCCCTCCTCCGCAGCCTGCCTCGCATGCGGCCGCATGCGGGGCGAGCGCTGGCAGCCCGTGAAGCAGTCACGATGCCGCCAGGCGCCGGCTTCGGCTCTGCCGGCGGCAGCCGTGGCAGGAAGAGGGGGTTCATAAGTCCTGCCTGCCCTCCTCCGCAGCCTGCCTCGCATGCAGCCGCGTGCGGGGCGAGCGCTGGCAGCCCGTGAAGCCCTCACGCTGCCGCCAGGCGCCGGCTGCGGCTCTGCTGGCGGCAGCGGTGGCAGGAAGAGGGGGTTCATATGCCCTGCCTGCCCTCCCAGCAGCCTGCCTGGCATGCGGCCGCGTGTGGGGCGAGCGCTGGCAGCCCGTGAAGTCCTCACGCTGCCGCCAGACGCCGTCTGCGGCACTGCCGGCGGCAGCCGTGGCAGGAAGAGGGGGTTCATAGCCCTGCCTGCCCTACTCCGCAGCCTACCTCGCATGCGGCCGCGTGCGAGGCGAGCGCTGGCAGCCCGTGAAGCCCTCACGCTGCTGCTAGTCGCGTCTGCGGCTCTGCCGGCGGCAGCGGTGGCAGGAAGAGGGGGTTCATAAGCACTGCTCGCCCTCCTCCGCAGCCTGCCTCGCATGCGGATGCGTGCGGGGCGAGCGCTGGCATCCCGTGAAGCTCTCACGCTGCCGCCAGGCGCTCTGCCGGCGGCAGCGATGGCAGGAAGAGGGGGTTCATAGCCCTGCCTGCCCTACTCCGCAGCCTACCTCGCATGCGGCCGCGTGCGAGGCGAGCGCTGGCAGCCCGTGAAGCCCTCACGCTGCTGCTAGTCGCGTCTGCGGCTCTGCCGGCGGCAGCGGTGGCAGGAAGAGGGGGTTCATAAGCACTGCTCGCCCTCCTCCGCAGCCTGCCTCGCATGCGGATGCGTGCGGGGCGAGCGCTGGCATCCCGTGAAGCCCTCACGCTGCCGCCAGGCGCTCTGCCGGCGGCAGCGATGGCAGGAAGAGGGGGTTCATAGCCCTGCTTGCCCTCCTCCGCAGCCTGCCTCGCATGCGGCCGCGTGCGGGGCGAGCGCTGGCAGCCCGTGAAGCCCCCACGCTGCTGCTAGTTGCGTCTGTGGCTCTGCCGGCGGCAGCGGTGGCAGGAAGAGGGGGTTCATAGCCCTGCCTGCCCTCCTCCGCAGCCTGCCTCGCATGCGGCCGCATGCGGGGCGAGCGCTGGCAGCCCGTGAAGCCCTCACGCTGCTGCTAGGCGCCGTCTGCGGCTCTGCCGGCGGCAGCGGTGGAAGGGAGAGGGGGTTCATAAGCACTGCTTGCCCTCCTCCGCAGCCTGCCTCGCATGCGGCCGCGTGCGGGGCGAGCGCTGGCAGCCCGTGAAGCCGTCACGCTGCTGCTAGTTGCGTCTGTGGCTCTGCCGGCGGCAGCGGTGGCAGGAAGAGGGGGTTCACAAGTCCTGCCTGCCCTCCTCCGGAGCCTGCCTCGCATGCGGCCGCGTGCGGGGCGAGCGCTGGCAGCCCGTGAAGCCCTCACGCTGCCGCCAGGCGGTTTGCCGGCGGCAGCCGTGGCAGGAAGAGGGGGTTCACAAGTCCTGCCTGCCCTCCTCCGGAGCCTGCCTCGCATGCGGCCGCGTGCGGGGCGAGCGCTGGCAGCCCGTGAAGCCCTCACGCTGCCGCCAGGAAACGTCTGCGGCTCTGACGCCCGCAGCCGTGGCAGGAAGAGGGGGTTCATAAGCCCTGCTTGTCCTCCTCCGCAGCCTGCCTGGCATGCAGCCGCGTGCGGGGCGAGCGCTGGCAGCCCGTGAAGCCCCCACGCTGCCGCCGGACCCCGCTAGGCGCACTGCCGGCGGCAGCGATGGCAGGAAGAGGGGGTTCATAAGCCCTGCCTGCCCTCCTCCGCAGCCTGCCTCGCATGCGGCCGCGTGCGGGGCCAGCGCTGGCAGCCCGTGAAGCCCTCACGCTGCCGCCAGGCGCCGGCTTCCGCTCTGCTGGCGGCAGGCATGGCAGGAAGAGGGGGTTCATAGCCCTGCTTGCCCTCCTCCGCAGCCTGCCTCGCATGCGGCCGCATGCGGGGCGAGCGCTGGCAGCCCGTGAAGCCCTCACGCTGCCGCCAGGCGCCGGCTTCGGCTCTGCCGGCGGCAGGCATGGCAGGAAGAGGGGGTTCATAAGAACTGCTCGCCCTCCTCCGCCGCCTGCGTCGCATGCGGCCGCGTGTGGGGCGAGCGCTGGCAGCCCGTGAAGCCGTCTTGCTGCTTCTGTCTTCTCTGCTGTAGTAGGTTGTTCCCCTTTCATGCAGGCAGTCCTTCCCTCTCTTGCTCCTTTCTGTTCCCACTCTGTCTCGAATGTTTTTCAGTGGCAAGCAAGACGGATCGAAACAGCAGCAAAGCAGGGCCAGAATGCACGGGATTTGGTTATGCGATGGTGGCAAAGCTGCGGATGCTCGGGTGCCTTAGGCTGGGAGATGGTAGCCACACGTGTGGTGCTGAAACCTCTTTCTCTTCGCTGTGGTTTGGCGACTGTTTAGGTTTGTGAGCTGGCGCCACATGGCTGCGCACCCCAGGGGTGGAGCTAGGGCTGGGCAGCAGCAGCTGCAGCCGCGGCGCGCAGGCGCCGGCACTCCGGCTTGTGCGCTCGCCAGTGCGCGTGGCTGCAGGCCTCGCTGCAGTACCTCACACCCCGGCACCTGCAGGCAGGAGGCAGGCAGGGCAGGAGGGTAAGCGAAGCAGTGCGCCAGGCAGACAGGCTGGATGCCATCCCAGGGCCAGCTTAATGCACTGGCAAGCCAATCTGTTGCCGCAGTTCAAGCATCCACTCACGCAGAACAGTGCTTCAGGTGATGCGTGCTGCCGCAGCCGGCCGCTGCGCACACCCTGGCAACATGTGGTGGTGCGGAAGGAACAGCCGGCGCCGCTGCATCTGCTGCAACCACTGGAGCTGCCTCTGTTGCGGGTGCTGCCTCTGCTGCTGTGGGGGGCGCGCTCACGTGTGCCTCTTGTGCAGCGCCTTCAGCATTCAGCACCGCTCCGGCCTGCCCACTGTGGGACAGGCTGCGTAGTGCAGCAGCTGTCTCCTCTCGTACCGCTTCGCTTGGGCTGCTGCTGTGCGGCTGCTGCAAAGCAGCGATGCCGTTTGCTGCTGCAATGGCCGCGCTGCTGTCGGGGATGTCGCGTGAGAGGCAGCCAAGAGCAAAGGTTGCTCTCAGCTGCACCTTCTCGCTGGTGGTGCTGCGCAGGAGCTGCACCAATGCAGGGATGGCGCCGGCCGCGCCGATGGCTGCCTTGTTCCCAGGGCTGTCCTCAGAGAAGAAGCGAAGCGCATTGGCTGCTGCAATCTGCAGCTCCTCACTGGCAGTGCTGCGCAGGAGCTGCACCAGCAAAGGGATGGCGCCGGCCGCGCCAATGGCTGCCTTGTTCCCAGGGCTGTCCACAGAGAGGAAGCAAAGCGCTTGGGTTGCTACCACCTGCACCTCCTCGCTGGCGGTGCTGCGCAGGAGCTGCACCAGCAGAGGGATGGCTCCGGCCGCTCCAATTGCTGCCTTGGTGCCAGGGCTGTCCACAGAGAGGCAGCCAAGCGCACCGGCTGCTACAACCTTCTCCTCCTCGCTGGCGGTGCTGCTGCGTAGGAGCTGCACCATAACTGGGATGCCGCCGGCCGCTGCAATGGCCACTCTGCAGTCAGGGCTGTCCACAGAGAGGCAGCTGAGCGTCGCGGCTGCCTGAAACTGCACCGCCTCGCTGCAGCTGCTGCACGCGCGTTGCACCAATGCTGATATGGCACCGGCCGCTGCGATGGATGCGGCGGTGCCAGGGCTGTCGACAGAAAGGTTGCGGAGCAGCGTGGCTGCAGCCTCCAGCAAATCATCGCTAACACCGCTGCTGCTGATACATTGAACCAGTGCGGGAATGGCGTCTGCCGCTACAATGGCTGCCCGGTTGTCATCGCTGCCGGCACAGAGGTCAACCAGCGTCCCGGCAGCCTGCACCGACTGATGCTCGCCGCCGCTGCGCAGGCGCCTCAGCAGCGCCGAGATGTAGGTGGATGAAGCCATCTGGTAGCGTGGAGAAGCTGGTGCAACTGCCCCGGGTGTACCGCTGCGGCAGGCGGGCGGGCAGACGGGACAGAGGGGTGCGGAGGTTTGGGCGGGCATGCGGCGTGCGGCGGACCACTGTGCCCGCAACGTGTGGAAGGATCAAGCGACCGCTGTTCAGCGCCACACGCCACATCGCACCCACCGTGTGGCACGATCGGCAGCCTGCTCACTCCTGAGCGACACTTGGGCTGCGTTGGAGGACGATGAAAGCGCAGATGCTGCGGAAGGCTGAAAGCGGGCTTGCTGGCGACAGAGGTAGGCACAGCGCGCACGCCGTGCCGCCACCGCCTCTCATCACATTCTCATATGGCAGCGGAGCACGCATCCAACGCAAAGGAAGGACGCAATCTGATGTACCAGCGTTACAGAGCGGCATGCATAACTTCAGCACCCAGGCCGCTGCTCGTCTGCCCAGCCCCCGCCGTCCCCTGCCCGCTCGCCACCGCCGGCCTCTGATGCTGTCTGCGTCTTACTCAGGAGGGCCGCCCACCTGCCCACCGCTCGTCTGGCGGCCAGAGGCCAGCGGCAGGCGCCGCCGGTGTCAGCGGGGGGGGGGGGGGGGGCCGGCC